AACCGATTCTAAAACAATTCAACAAACATGGAAAGAGTATTCTGAAATTCTCTACAGCAGGTATGTCAATTTCAGCACTCTATTACCAATTGGAAAGTTATTGGAATTGATGGCATATCCACAGAAAAATGACAAGCAGCAGAATAATCTATAAAGATTTTAAACTAACTATACCAGAAAATCTGAAGAATAACAGTCCTCAACAGATTGAAAGAAATCAGTCCATATATATGAGCACCAAAGAAAGAAGACACTACAAAATATGCAAACAACACTGTGCAATATCCTTAATTTCACTAGATAATAGAACAATGCCTAAGATCAACTAACATAAATTAAAGATCTGTGTGGAAAGGAAGATGCCAGATGTTAAAGCTGGTTTTAGAAAAGGCCAAGGAACAAAATATATTATTGCAGAAGCACAATGGATGATTGAGAAAATCAAAGAATACTCAAAAGAAGTGAATGTCTGTTTTATTATTATGAAAAGGCCTTTGATTGCATCAACCGTATCAAGCCATACAATATAGGAATCCTGGAACATCTCATGCAAAATATATACAGATACAAGGAAACCATAGTCTGGGCAGATCATGGTGAAACAGACTGGCTCCAGCTTGGCTAAGGAGTGAGACATAGCTATAAATATGGTTGCCTAACTCTCCCCAAGTTTATTCGGAATATATTGAGGGAAGCCAGATTAGAACAAGATGACTGTGTTTTTAAAATTGGAGGAACAAACAGTAATTTATGCTGTAGTGATGATGCTATTCTGATAACTTGCAAATGAACTGCAAGCTCTAGTAATAAGTCGGGGAAGGGGTGTGAAAAAAATTGGACTGCAATTAAATAAAAAGATCAAACCAATGATAACAGGTAGAGCAACCCAGCCTTGAAATTGACAGTGAAGATAGTGAAGTGGCAGGTAGCTTTTGCCTTTTAGAATTGATTTACCAACAGTAAAGGAACCAGCAATCAAGAAATGCACTGCAGACTAGCACTTTAGCCTCAAAGGCCTTGGAAAAGATATTCATGTGTGTCCAAACCTACAAAGATCAAAATTGTGCAAGGAAGTTTATCTTCTGACACTGTAAAAAAGTGAAAGTTAGATTTTAAAGAAGCAAGATAGAAACAATATTGACACTTTTTGATTTTGGCTTTGTTGAAGGCCCCTGAAAATATGAAAACTGACAAGCGGATCAGTGAAAAAAATCAATTCAGTTACCATTCATGCCACAAATGATTGTGCTCAAGTTTGCATCTTGAGGACATATAATACAAAGTTATCCAGCTCCAGAGAAGTCTAGAATGCTAAAATAGAAGGAAAGAGAACAGGAGACCGACCAACAGTAAAGCGGATGGACTCAAGTGCAACATCAAAGGGTACACTATTGGAAGAATACCTAAAAGCCAGGTTGGAGTCAGATCATTCTGAAGATCATAGCAGGTAATAAGTAAAGAATACATTTAAAGGAACTACCTAATAGGAGCAGTAGCACAGTCTACTAAATACAAAATCACAGTGACTTTATATATTAAGGTAAATAAAAAGTGAAAGTACCATTTGCTCATACTTCCTTTTTTCCCCCTCACTTGGTGTTTCACCTAATGGGAGATGCATAGCTACAGCTGAATACAGGCTATATACTGACTTGTCCACTAGAAAGCACTAGGTTCATCCTTTTGACTTAATAAGATATGGCAAAAAAAGACATGAATTAGAAAAATCTCAAATAGCTGTTTAAAAGCTTATATAATCCACTATGTACTGTATGCACTGTGAAACAATGCAAAGTTGGATAACACAAACCAGTCAGAATAATTCACTATAACATTACAAGGAAAAACTCAATATACATAGGAATTAAGAGACTGATTTACAGCATATATTGTACCAGGAAGATGGGACAAATTATGCACATTTGCAATTGATGGTCATATCATTGAGTGCAGTATAAAAGTAGTCATTGAATGAACACTCTCAACAAATGTTCAAAGTTGTTATGATGCTAAATGAGGGGGACTTAGGACAGGTCCTCACAGTTGTGGACAGTGCACTCTCCCACAATCACATGATTATGTTTTGGGCACTTGGCAAATAGCTCACAATTTTGACAGTTGCAACATACCATTATCACATAATCATCCTATTTGACCTTCACTGAAAAATTTTGACAAGCAAAGTCAATGGGGAAGCTAAAAGGAAGTAGCAAATGACCGCAGGATGCTGCCAGATACAAGATTCACCTAATGACAGCAGCTGAGACTGTTGCAACTGTACGTTGGTGTAGTCACAACATAGAATTTTATCATTGTGTTACTTAGCAACAGAGTTGTCATCCTTAATTACCATTAAGTGAGAACTGCTTGTAATGATTAACATATGGGATTATTAAAATTCAGGAAGCTAGTAAAAGCTAATGTACAATGTTACAGGTAGCATATACTTTTACAAATAACTATAATAAAAAGAAAAGTGGATTTCTTCTATATTTCTCTTTTGGATAAAAAGTGAAATATGAAAGATAATATAATAGCAATAGCACTTAGACTTATATACCGCTTCACAGTGCTTTTAAAGCCCTTTAAGCAGTTTAGAGTCAGCATATTGCCCTCAGCAATCTGGGTCCGACCTCAGAAGGATGAAAGGCTGAGTCAACCTTGAGCCGGTGGGACTTGAACTGCCAAACTGCTGGCAGTTGGTCGTCAGCAGAAGTAGGCTGCAGTACTGCATTCTAACCACTGCGCCACCACAGCTCTTATAATGCTATGGAACTAATGAAATACATAATATGGAAACAAAAAGTCACATTTAGTCATTGTACCAGTAGGAGAATGAGTGGACTATTACTTCGATAGAATTACGTTAAATGATTGTCTGAAATTCATCAAATCAGTATGACTTAATGTTATAAAGCAGTTTAACACCAAGATGAAAAAAAAACAGCTATTAAATTAAGCCAGACTTCAAGCCAAGCTTTTCAGGAACAAATTTTAACTAACAAGGTACAGGAAGAGAGTCTTATCTGCAATTGTCCTGCCCTTTGGAATGCCCTTTCCAAAAATGAGGTCCTTCAGAAGTTTGAATACCTGGCTTTGATTAATTGCTTGGGGCTCACAGAGAAGTAGGCTACCTTTGGGTTGGCTAGTGCCTAGAAGCCCTTCCTTCGCTTTTTTCATTTTAATTATTACACTCCTATTTTAACTGTCCCCTACAAAAGTATGGTCTTTATATGATTTTCAGCTTTTCATTGTACACTATCCAGAGTTGCTTGGTGCGATGGGCTGTCACTAAATTTGATAAACAAAATAAAAACAAACAGTTACACATATATAATTTTTTAATCTGGCATAACACTGCAATATAATATCTGGTAATCTTTATTCCCCATTCCTGGTACTATATAGATTTCCCATGTTTACAATTTTTTAAAGATGTTTATCCCACCTTTATTACTTTATAAGTAACTTAAGGCTGCAAACATATAGCATGCACCACATAATTTTGATGTAAGAGTTCAAAGGACTCCATTATATCTATCACATTTGATATGTACAACAAACATATCTAAGTATGTCACTTGTGGCAAAAGTATAATTACATTTATGTTTGTGAGCCAAATTGTTTATCAATAGTAAAATTAACTGAAATTCATTTCCCATGGTGCCTGTTGTCTTACATCTAGTGGAAATACATGAAGTATTCAACTTACAACCATTCATTTAGTGACCATTCAAAGTTACAATGGCATTGAAAAAAATGACTTATGGCCATTTTTAATACTTACCACCTGTGCAGCATCCCTGTGGTTTTACATTATCAAAATCTGGATGCCTGGCAACTGGCATGTATCTATGACCGAGGTCATGTAATCGTTTGTAATCTTCTGATAAGCATAGTCAATGGATAAGCCAGTTTCACTTAACCCTGTTACTCACCACCCAATGATTCCTTAACTGTGCTGTGAAAAGTCATAAAATGGGACAAAACCTGCTTAACAACTGTTTTGCTTCACAACAGAAATATTGCGCTCACTTGCAGTTATAATTCGAAGGAATATCTGTACGATGCTAACTGGGTTGGGAGGATTGCAATCCTCCACTCTAAATTCTACCTGCTTCAATTGCAACGTGTGAAACTACTGAACTCTATATTGTTTTGATTGCTTCTCTTCCCCAAAAACCACGTTTCCTGGGACTCAAAAAGAGCATGGAAGTGGATTTCTTGACCTGCAGAAGGTAGAAGTGGCAACTTATAATCACATTTATTTTATTGTAATTTGTCAAGCAGAAACAAAAACAGAAATACAAAAAAAAAAACCAATGACAGGGATATTAGGCACGTTTTCAGGGCATTTATGCACTTATCAAATAAGAAGTGAGGTCCTCGGAAGTCCATTTGTGACTAAAACTGTGAAAATTTGTAGCTGAAACAATTGAATCAGGTGGAGCATTCCAGACCTTGGCAACTCTATTACAAAAATCGTATTTTTTTTTTTAACCATCAAGTTTAGAACGATTCACATGGAGTTTAAAATGATTGTTCTCCCACCTTATTGTTTTTACCTACAGGTAAAAACATTGCCAAGTACAATTTTGTACACAATACCTATTGCTATTGCGTTTGCCTTCATAATCAACACACCAGGGGGGGAAAAAACATTGCATTATTAACTGCCAGGGTAAAAACAAAAAGAAGCCATGAACGCTTTGCACAAGTGGTGAACCTGTTTTCTTAAAGGGCGGGGAGGGGGAAGGAAAGAAAGTGCCTTTAGAGGCGGGAAGACCCAAAACCAAAAAAAAAGAAAAAAGAGCCCCGTGTGATTTGCAAGAAAGGGGCTCCCGAGGCGCCCGCTCGCCCACCCACCCCACGCGGGCAGGCCGTGGCTTCAGGTGGATCGCAGCCCCCGCCTCAGCCGGGGACAAGCGGCGGAACGGCTATCTGGAGCAGCATCAGCCGTGAAGCAGAAAGCGGCCCGCCGTACCGGGCGGCTACGCACCGTGTATTCCCGCACTTGGCTGTGGAAGTTCTGCTCGCGGATAGTCACTTCGTCCGCGTCCATCCTGTCATAGCCCCCGCCGGGAAGCCTCCTCCAGTAATGGCCGCCGCTGCCCCCGCGCCTCCTGCCTCCCAGGCGGCAAGCGAAGGACCATGGCCGGTGGGCAACGCCTGGCGCTCGGGACCCTCCTCAGGCCGGGGAGGGGGGGTGGAAAGCTCGGGCGCAACGCGCCACTCGCGGCGCCGGCAACGACAACAACCGCGGCGGCGGCGGCGGCGGCAGCACGGGTCCTCACGTTCCACCCCGCCCCCTTCTTCTCGCGCGGGGCGTGTCAGTCAGCCTCTTAAGAAGAGCGGCCTGACGGGGGGAAGTGCGCCTGCGCAAATCTTGACAAGCGGGGTGCCCGCGGTGCGCGGGTTCGGCACGCTCGAAGGCGGGGACGAATCGATGTTCGTTGTGGGCGGGGCTGGGATAAACCAGAGGCGGGGCTTCAGTGCTCGGCGGGGCACCGAAAAGCGCTCTCTTAAGGTGCGATTCTGGCTTTCTTTTTTTTATTTTTATTTTTTGGATGAGCCAGTAGGAAGGAAAGTCCGCCCTGCTGGCTGTAGGGAAAAAAAATACCTGGTACTTCAACTCCCAGAATTCCTGAGCAAACATGAATGGAGAAGGAATTCTGGGAGTTGAAGTCCACAAGTCTTAAAGCTGTCAAGTTTAAAGACCCTTGTGGTAGATTGAAGATAAAATTTATGAGTTGGGGATTGGGATAAGCCAAAAGCAGACAACATTTGTTATCTATTTGTGAATTTATAAGCCTCTTCAGTCAAGGCTGCTCTGAAGTGGACCAACAAAGAGCAACAACTGTAGACAACGCCAAAAGTAGCATAGAGTACTGCAGCATAAAAAAAGCACAGGTTGTGTGTGGACTCTGCTTACCAGGAGATGTGCAAATCCAGACACAGGGAACTAATCTTAATTGTTTAGAGATACTCCTCGACTTACAACAGTTCATTTAGTGGCCATTTGTAGTTTCAGCTGCCCTGAAAAAAAGTGACATGGCCATTTTTCACACTTATGACTGTGGCACCATCTCCATGGTCACATGATCAAAATTCAGATGCTTAACAACGGACTCATATTTATGAGGGTTGCCAAGTCCCGGGGTCATATAATGTAACCATCTTTTGAAACCTTCTGACAAGCAAAGTCAGTGGGATTTAACAACTGTGTTTTAATTTAACAACGACAGTGATTCGCTTAACAATGTGACAAAAATATCATAAAGTGGAGCAAAACTCCATCAATTTCTCACTCGGCAATATTAATTTGGGGCTCAGTTGTGGTTGCGAGTTGGCTGTATTTGTGGTGTTGCTCATTATAATATGTGTAGGTTGATTTGTACCATGCACAGCCTGTAAAATTGTTCCTCAGCTAGGAGGAGTTTTTGGTAATGATGTAGGCAGCTAGGTGCAGTTTTGTGGGCAATACACACAAAACACTATGTTTGTAGGGGACTGGAGGCTAAAACATACAACGAACGGTTGCAGGAACTGGGCATGGCTAGTCTAGTAAAGAGAAGGACCAGGGGAGACACGATAGTGCTCTTCCAATATTTGAGGGGCTGCCACAGGGAGGAAAGGGTCAAGCTATTTTCTAAAGTGCCTGTAGGCCAGACAAGGAATAATGGATGGAAACTGAACAAGGAGAGATTTAACCTGGAAATAAGGAGAAACTTTCTGACAGTGAGAACAATCAACCAATGGAACAGTTTGCCCTCGGAAGTTCTGGGAGCGCCATCACTTCAGACTTTCAAGAAGAGATTGGACTGCCGGATTTCCGGTTTGAGCTTCTTCGGCAACATACCGAAGCCTTGTCTCTGCGAGGTTTCGATCCGTGCTCGCCGCTGGAGCGCCCTGAGCTGACTGGTTTCGGGGCTAAGCCACGCCGTAGAGGTGGTGAAGAAGGGGGAGACTGCCTGCAGGGTTGAGGAGACCCGCATCTCTCCTCCCCAGCTGGCCATTACTCCCTTTCCGGAAGGCGGTTGTAGCGGTGGTCAGAAATGGCCACCACAAAGAAGAACTCAACCGGAAAAGAATGTGCAGGAGTAAGATAAGAAGAGAAAGTTTTGGTTGACCGGGTCAAACAGCAAGAGCAACAAATAAGGTACCCTGGAATTGAAACTATTAAAAAAAAAACAATAACGTTGTTCCCAAAGAAGATTTTTAAGCTGCGAAGAAGAGAGAAAAGGGAAAAGATTTGGTTTTTTTTTCTCCTTTTCCTATACTGACAGCTAAGAGACTTAAGCAAGAAATTGGAAAAAAATCCACTTTGACATCAATAGGCATTTAATGCTGAAAATAAAAAGTCAAAGGGATAATAAAGATTTCTGGATAATCAAAAGCTTTTGAAAACAGGAAAGGAGAGAAAAAGAATAAAAGGGCAAGATCTGGAAGGGAGGAGACTGCCTGGAATTAAAAAGAACTTACAGCAAAATCTCAACAAGACTTCCAAAAGATACATTTTAACTGAAACATCACAACAAAAACCCCAGGAAGAGAAAGTGGAAAAAGTGGGACTATTTGGATTACTTGATGATCTCTGGATTTTTGGTTGTTGTATTTGAATGACTAAAATCAATCGGGTGGTTGTTTAAAACTGTTTAAAATGGCTCCACTTTTAGAAGAACTGAAAATGGAACTTTAAAAGTACAAAGAAGATACACAAGAAGGGAGAGGTTATTTTGGCTTCGTATTTCAGTTCTTAAAAATGGAGATTTGGAACTATGAGAAACAACAAGAAATGCCTGCAGAACAAGAAGATTGCGACAAAGAAGAAGCCGTCTTTAATGAACAAGTAATCTTAGGTGGTGGGGGGAAGGAAAGGGGGGGAAAGAGAATGAAAAGTTTAAGATTGGAAAAAACAACCCCCCCCAAAAAAAAAATAGAGTGAAAAATAAGTATAAAATCAGAAAGCAACAGAAGAGGGAAATGCAGAAGAGAGAATTAGAAGTAGAGAGACAAGGGGATAAAAAGGGGAGGGAGAAGATGAGAGGGAAGAAAGAAAGGAAAAGAAGTTATAAAGGATAGAAACAAAATATAGAGAAACAGGGCCTATTTAGAGATAATGGGTGAAAATTTAATGGAAAAAGGGATTCTGCAAAGGTACATAAGATAGTATTGTTATATTAGAAATAGAAATAATTTTAGAAAATATGCAACAATGTATGATTAAAATGTTTGATAAAATAGCTATTGTAATTCAGTGGAATGCTTGTCAATAAATAAATGTAACAAAATGAATATTTAATGATTTACAAAGCATATGTGAAGAGAAATAAGGGAAAAATTAATTATGGAGATTATACGTGTCTTTAAGGAAGTATGATGTTTAATTGAAAAGAAATGTTAAAGATGCTAAGATTTTAATGATTATTAATGATAGAACTGACGTGGAATGGAATGAGGGTTTATAATTACATATATTTATAATCCCTTTTTTAAAGAATATAGTGTGTATTATAAGAACGTACCAAGCAGAATTCGATTGGAAGTTATATATTATGTATTATATTGAAGGTCATAACCTTAAGGTATATATTGAAGTTTAAATAAGAGTTGAATGGATGTAATTAAAAGATATAAAGGTGTCATACTCCAATTAGTAACTACAGGAGAAAACTTGTTTAATGAGAAAAGATAATATGTAATTGAAACAGAACAAAGTATAAATATAATGATTTGATGAGATAATCAAAATAAAATTGAGAAAATTAAAAGAGGGGAAAAACTATATAGAAAATGTAGAATAGTATAAGATATGGAATAGAACAGGGGTCCCCAACCGCCGGTCCGCGGACCGGTACCGGGCCGCGGAACAAGCCTTACCGGGCCGCTGGTTGCTGGGCGCCGCCATCTTTTTTTTGGTAAAAAAGCGCTTCTGGTGAGCTTTTCCGGGTAGAAAGCTCACCGGAAGCGCCTTTTCGTCATAAAAAGATGGCGGCGCCCAGTTGACGCCGGTACCGGGCCGCGGCGCCCAGCTGATGTCGGAACCGGGCCGCGGCGTCGAAAAGGTTGGGGATCCCTGGAATAGAACACAAAAAGGAGCATGAAATTGAGTTTTGTGTCTGTATAAAGATGTTCAACCCGGGACCATGCTATTTTCAACAAAGATGTTTTACTTGTATTTTGTATGTGTGAAAACCCAAATAAAACTTTATTAAAAAAAGAGAGAGAGAGATTGGACTGCCATTTGTCAGAAATGGTGTTGGGTCTCCCGCTTGGGTGGGGGGTTGGACTAGATGACCTAAAAGGTCCCTTCCAACTCTGATTATCGGTTATCTGTTGTATCATATTTTAGTTTAGTTTATTGTCATTGCACCTCGGACAGCGAAATTAAATGCCATCTTCAGTTTATTTATTTTTATTTTTTGAAGAACTCAAGGCAATGTCCACCTATTTTCTTTACCACAAAAACTTTATGATATGGGTTGAGTTCAGCATCAACCATGTAAATGAAGACTCGATCATCCAGACCAAAAGTATCTAAATCATGGCATCTGGACCAAAGTTTATTAAAACTGAGATGTTTCATTACTCATCAAGTAACTTTTTCAGTCAAATGAAAATTTTGAGTAGGCAGAGAGTTAGAGAGTATGGCAGAAGTATGATTTATTCCAATTATATAATAAACTTTGGTCCAATTACCATGAGTTAATCTTTTCAAAGTCAACCAGTGAAGGTCTAGAACTCAGTGTTCCATTTTCTATCTAGTAGCACCTTAGCCACTGCAGCAAACTGACTCCTTTAAGGATACATTCCTGCCTTTTCCTGACTTTCCAGTATGGTGTTCAACCTTGGATTGTCCAGATGGTCCCTGATCTAAATACTAAACAGAACCAACCAAACAATATACACAAACCAAAAATTTTAATTGTACTGTTTTGAATTGCAGCTTGCTTCAAGGTACCACAAATATATAATTGCATCTTGATATATTCAAAATATTGAAGTGTGTTGACCCAGGGCGTGACACAAAGGCAACACAGTAACATAAGCAAGAAATGTCCCTTTAGTACCTCCAATTTTGCTCCCAATGTCCAGGTTACCTTCGGCTGGAGAAAAAACTCTCCCAAGAACAGTCTTTAAGTGGAGGAAATTCAGTCCAAAAACAAATTACATACAAACTGTAAATAAAAATTCACACAAACTACGCTGCAGTAATTAACTTGACAGGGTAGGAGAAGGAATTGCAGACTTGAAAGGCCAACAAAACACACACAGTTGGGAAGGCGCCAG